CCGAGTTGCGAGAGTCTAAACCCGAAGCCCTTCGTTCTGAGGCACGGCAGAGGCCGAGACTCAGGTGGCTGAAGTGGAGGCGCAGGCTGAGGACGCCTGCGGGGTCAGGAGTTGTGTTTCATGCAATTTCGGGCAAGCCCGGATTCAAATGGGGTTCGGGTCCCAGAATAGATATATAAGATATATCGTAGCATACTTTTAGCACGTAACAGGGAACGTTAGCCTACAGTCTCGCACGGAGAATGCGCGCCGTAAAAGTGCTTGGACACTGAGCGGCCGCATTCTGACAAACGGCGCCTTATGGCAAGATGCGTTGCCAGCACGCCCAGAGACTCCCATTTTCCTTAGTCAAGGAATATTCCTTAAATTATAGTNNAGGATCCTTAATATGCTTTAAGGTATGTTCCCTAATTAAGGGATATTGGAGTCTCTGGGCGAGTGTCACTCTCTCCCTGCACCAGACGGGATGAAGGCGCCGATGCTCTGGCGTCGGAAGCGTACTTGTTCTGTTTCCTGCACAGCTTGGACGGGACTGCCGCGTTTAAGGCCCTGCAATACGCTGAGTTCAGAGCCGATCCCTGCAATTCGTTTGTTAAGTTTGGCTCCCCGGCGCAGCAGAGTTCATTCATTGGCTTCCTGTGATGCTGATACTGCTAGTATGGCATGCTACCCCCCAGAACACTATTCAGCTTCATGTAGCCACGAAGTTCTTGGGATATCACTGGAAGGAAGCTTCTCAAGAGAGCTTCTCAAAGTGAGAGTCAAGCTGCTTGCTTCCTAAAGAAAGTCGGAAGCTTCAAGAAAGTTCTTGTTCAGAACTTGAATGTTCCAAGAAGTCTGTTGGACAGGTATAACGTATACTCAGGGTCGCAGCACCCTAAGCCCTAAACCCTAAGCCCTAAACCCTAAACCCTAACCCCCAGTAACCCTCGAACCCCTAGATTAAGGCATCCTAAAGGAAGGGGTCGAAAAGGGGCAGAGTCCCTCCGGTTACCTGAAGGTTCCCTCCCCACTCCTGCCATATAGGGTTTCGGGTTTAGGCCTGAGAGGTTTAGGGTTTAGTAACAACTGGACCTAAATTAAACCCTAAACCCTAAACCCTAAACCCTAAACCGTTACTAAACTTTCGCAAGCTTCGCAGGAGACTCCCGCGGACCCCAAGAGCCATCGCCCCAGATTTGCCTGCGCAGAGAACCGTTACAGTACAACACCCTTCTCTAGTTATTATGTGGGTAGTTCTTTAAATTAGGGTCCCTATTTGGGTCCCCAACATAGTACGGCACCCTTATAAAAAGGACACTAAAAGGGACCCTATTTTAGAGAACTACCCACGTAGCAATCTTGCAGACTTTTGGAAGATCCCGCCGTCTGATGATCGGCCAAGGCACTGTGTCCGTCGCAGGGTGCTGAGATGACAGAAGCACACAGGGCAGCACGGTCGTCCGAAGGAATCGGATATTTGCTAGACTGCTAGACAGTCTGTCTGTAGCCGCTACCCAACTGCTTGCAGCATGTGCACTTGTACTGTATGCACATTGTAAACCTAAGCCCCCACGTGGTTTCAGACAGGTGCAAGGCGCGGATCGGATGAAGATCGCGTGGGAGGCGGAGGAGTTTGAGAATTTAAAGCACTGTACTACCATGGACCAGGGACTACATCGGTTCGCGGGTAGCCCCTAAACCCTGAACCCTCAAAAACCGTAGGATAATATCCTGAAGCCCGAAGACCCCAGCCCCTCGGCCTGAGTCTGTGATGGGCTTCCCCTTACATAATTATTCCATAAAATACCCGGAAACCCCGTCTTGATGATTGAGGCCCCTGTACTAAAGCCTTATGGTAACCCCTTACAGAGCCCTCAGACATCATTCATTGAACGAAAACCCTTTCAAGGGATCCTATGATTCTAATCATTCAAGGCCTCTATACTACACTCAGAGTGATTGTGCTGCCAAAATACTACACTAGTCCGGATTGCGTCATTGCCGATCGTCTCCCTCTCTGCTGACCTTGACCTTCAGGGCTTACCTTAACCAACCATAACCCACTTTTTTGTAGGCTCTTATTAATTACCCTAATATGGGATTTATAGGGACCCTACAAAAAAGTAGGTTCTGGTAGGTTAAGGTAGGGTGTAGGGAGTAGAGGTGGCTCGAGGGTTAAGAGGCGCACGGCATTGGAGTCCAGGGTTGACAGATTTCGAGTCGGGTCTTCTGGGGCTTTCGAGTTTCGGGTTTTATCTACGCCTTTCGGGTTTAAAGTTTGAGAATTTGGAAACATCGCAGGAGACCTGCGCAACGCTCCGTGAACGCCCAGAGCCCGGGACATGAGTCGAGGAAGCTTGCCCTATGAGCCGAGTGTACAGTCGGCCACTTGAATTCAATATAGGGGCCTTATAGTAAGTACCTATACTATTTTGGGGGCTCCTTATGATAACTATATGTAGTATAATAGACCCCAAGCCCTTTTCTAATTATGAAGATAGGTTTAGATTCGGGGTCCGGTGCGTGTGTATACGGGCAGAGCAGTGTGACATTGATCTGCAGATACGGACCCCAAGCCCAAGGCCCAACCCGAACATATCTCGACCATTCTTGACCTAATTAAAAGTCCACAAAAAGAATCCCTAGTTTGAAGAAACCTGCTAGGCTAGTCTCTTGCTGGTACCTTTATCCTCACTTCTTCGACTGCGATCTCGGCATATTCCTTCAACCCGAAAGCCTGCGTACCAACCCTCATCGTTGAAACCTAAATCCTAAACCCTCAGTGTTAGTTCCGCTGTTCTCGTGACCATAGACATGCTCAAGGGATTGATATAGGGGCCTAAATGATTACCAATACTATTTTGGGGGGTTTCTGCTTATAAATATGGCATAATAGACCCCCAAACCTTTTTCAAGTTAGTCAGGCCCCTATATTAGGGGATTTGGTAAGTACGGTTGTACAGAAGCACGGTAACACTAGCAGCAGTTACCAGCCATTCTAACCACCTTCTCGCCTATGGCGCCCAGAACCTGATCTACTCAGTCCCCTGATCGTGTGAGTTCATGGTTCATTTCAGTATGTTACAGTCCCTAAAACCCTAAACCCTAAACCCTAAACCCTCTGTTACAGTATGTTCCGCTTCTCCTAACCTTCAGGATCTGGCTCAAACGCCGGTAGTCACAACATCCATTCTTCTATCATCCGCTTAGCGTAGCCATGGCCGCTGGGACATCTTGAGTTTAGGTTACGTTTTTTGGGGGGTTTACGGGTTCAGCATTTGTTTGGGTTCTGGGGGATTTAGGCGGGGTGGGCTTGGCTGGAAGCTAAAGTGAGGCTTGAACAGCATGAGAATGGTGGAAGCAGTGTCTTTTTTTTAGGGCTGGGGGAGGGTTTGGTTGCGTTCTCCCCCTCCTCCCTAAACCTAAAACCCTAAACCCTAAACTCTGCAATGATAGTTTTCCCTCGCTGCGGAGGCTTGGACTTCAGCTTCGGGGTTTGCAGAAGGCCTCTCCCAATAGTCCCTAACCCCCCAGGTACCTACTATATAGGGTACTAGAGCCCCTAAGGCCCTTTGTAGTAGGTACCTGGAGGATTAGGGAGTTCTGCGGCTGGTCATCCCCGGACACCCAGTGCAACGGCTTGGGCCTGGAGCTTGGGAGTTTCATTCCGAGCCCCTTTGTGGAGTTGTGGGTTGTGTATGTATGTATGCATGCATGCATGTATGTATGTCTACATAT